CCACACATACACAATCCGCTGATCTCACTCTGACACAGAGCAAACAAACATTCCAATGATAATAGTGTAATGATGTCAGTATAATTTATTATTGTCGTTTTCGTTTTTGTAAGGTTTCACGGCGCTTGCAACTGCGTAAGGTTATATAAGTGCCAAAGGGTGGATGTCAACAGAGAAGTCCAAACGGGGAATCAGGCTTACTCTGCTCACCTCTCTAGCCTCAACAGCACAAAGTCTGCTTCGATTATCAAGACACCCAGGGAATAGCAGTTCACAGGAGACTGACAAACATACAAAAGAAGTTGAGGACAAAATGACGTTAGTAAGGATGAAGAAAAAAAAAGCAGCAGTTCCCTCTTTGTTGTTCTGGCACAGTATGAGTATGACATTGATAAATCAGCCCATTTACAATTCTACTGTGCTTAAGAACATGTTAATATCCCCCCTTTCGGAATGGCCTAAAACGTCTTCAGTCGGTAGCACTGCCCTGGTTTGGGGGAGAGGGGGCGGGGGTATAATTATACCATAGTATAGAATGACGACAACGACAAGGAACAGCTGTTACCAAATAAAATTATGTCATTTCAATAAATCTTAAACAAAATCAGGCTCAAATTTTAGAATGTCTGAAAAAGAACATCGAGGTTTTAGGCCAAAAATGAAACCGCCCCTGGAGAGAGATTCATTGTTTATCTTGCCCCATGTTGGGGGGGGGGGGGGATATAGCAAACTGCTGCAATTTAGGGGGAGAAATGAAAATACGATTCAGTAAAGATCAATTAAAACCAGACTCAACATAAAGCTAAGGCGGAGACTTAGTAGCGAAGGATTCGTGGCTTCATGTTGACTGCGGTAGACGGCTCAAGAATGATGACACATTGAGAACATCAAAACAAATTTTTTGGAACTTAATCTTTATCGATTTTTTTCGGCTCAACACCTTTTATGTGTATTGAAAACATATCTGTGTGGGTTTTTTAAAACATAAAAGCATGGATGAAAGGCACACAAAAAATAATAACTGCAGTTTTCAAGGACACTGAAGCTTCGGAAGTCACAAAACGAGGTCGGCCATTTTCTGGAAAACATCTCGACTTCTGCCCAAGATAGATGGATGTGATTTTCAAAGCTCAAACGAAAGACGGACGAAAAAGCTTTAAGATGTTATCAATAACTTCATGTGCCCACAAATTGACGAATACCTGATTCAACTGTACTGTCGCACAAATGTGTCAGTACTGGCTTACGGACAAGTAGAGGTTATAATAATAATAATCATAATCATAATCATAATCATAATCATAATCATAATAATCATAATAATAGCACAGGACTGAAACCTGCACCTCCCCTCGACATCCTAAGGATACCAGAGGAAGGAAAAAGTAAAAGTAAAGTAATAATGATGATGATGATGATGATGATGATGATGATGATGATGATGATGATGATGATGATGATGATGATGATGATGATGATTTTTTTTTTGGTTCCTTAATGGGTCTGGTGGACTCCAAGAAGAAATCTTCGAGCAAGAGCGAGGCTCTTTTTCGGCTCCATTGTCATTATACTCAGAGGCCCTTCCACCCATCTAAATAACTCCATTCGAGTTGCCATCGTTCCTGGACATTCAAACACATGTTTGACATCCTCCTTTTCATGATTTCATCTTCGGTCACGCGGGTTGAGCTCTTCATTCTCAAAGTTCTGATACCATCTCACGCTCCAATGATGGCCCGACCGCAGTCTCGCTAGCTCAACCTGGTCCCAGCGACATGTGATTAGTTGTTTCTGCTTATTGGAGTACCCAGAATACACATGGTGATGACCAATTAATAAATAAAGGAATTTACGAAGTTTCATTTACCAAGGCACAAAACCCAAGCCGGGTATGGGAAATAATCCTAGTTCTAAGGCAAACCTGAATGTTGCTTGCAAACAACAGAAACATTGTCAATATCAAAGATAATGAAAGAATACAACCACAATAAGAACAGACATAATAAATTAAGAACATCATTCATTAATAAGTTCACCATCGTTTGGGTCTCTCACTACATTACACGGTTGAAGATCTTTGGCGTTCAGGAATTTCTCCAGTCTTTTGAAAGAAGTAGAAGCCTAAAAAAATAAAAAGAACCAATCATGAAGAAAAAACAGCGTATCGCTAATGCACCGACAGTAATATTAAAAATGGCAGACTAAAATGCAGTTAGCTAAGTGTGTTACACTGTCAGCTTATGTTGTTGAACAAAGGAAAAGGTCATTTTTCTTTCTGCTGAATGACGACTTAACCCGTCACTGCTTGGCCCAATACTACCTCGAGATCGAGCTCTCTAGTTAGACTACGAGTAGAAGCGAATAACTGTGTTACACAAATCTCAATGTTTATAACTACACTAATCGTATTTGACGTCTAAAACGCATTCACGGCTAATATTCTTGAATAATATATTTGTTTTCACCCCCCC